GTGTAAGGCAGCCGGGGTGGGAGGTGAGGCGCGGTCACGTGAGGGGGGCGGGTGTCCAGGTGGGGCCGGCCTAATCAGGTCGTCGCGCATGCGATGCGGCCTGCCGGCGTGCAGCAGTCCTCAGCACGCCGCCGCTCTTGGCCATCGAGCCATGCGCATGAAAAATGCCCCAGGAAGCGCCCACCTTGGTGAACGTTGTGCCGGGGGACACGTGGTACGTGAGGGTGCGGACAAAGGGGCAGCGCCTGAAGAAGCGCGCGCGCCGTGCGTCGTCGTCGCCGTCGAGGCCGGTCAACTGCGCCTCGTATGCGCTGTCGGGCGCCAGGTCCAGCTCAGCCGCGTCGGCGCCGAGCGCGACCGTCTCGGCCCAGTCCTTGCACACAGCGCGCAGCGGCAGGGCGCTCTGCAGATCGCCGACGTGCTGCCCGACCTGTCGGAAGGAGGGGTAAAGGGTCTTCATGAGGCTATGGCCGGCCTTTGTGCACAGGCGGAGGGGTGGAGATCCTAAAAAACAGCGCGTGGGCCATGGACTCATGTCGCGATCGCCCTGGCACACCCCGGGTTTGCGGGCCCTTTCAGGTCGTGCCGGAGTTCTAAATCCGGTCAGAACCACTCGGGGACGCCCTCGACACCCACGGCTTCAGGGGTCGGGTGCAAAACGCATTGCCACGGTGGCAAGCAGGGGCACGCCTCGCCACAATATCCTGGTCCTCGGCTCAGCTGGGCCACGCGCGGCCCTTGCGCCGCTCCCCAAGCCTTTATTCAGCGTACCTCCACGCCAATCATCCCCATCAGGCCGTCCATGGTGGACCTTGTGTCTGGTTTTTCCTCGAGAAGCCTCGGTGTCGTCCGGGGCCCGTTTTCCCACGTCGCGTGTCCAACAAGACTGTTATCGCCCTTTACAGGGTGGTGGTGAGACACACAGACCCTGCAAAGGGCTCCTAGAAGGCCATCGTGCTAATGGATCTAGCAAATGCAACGGGGAGCTAAGCTAACGTCGTTTGGGCGTGTTTTGTAAGCTTGGATTTGCGTTGTATGTCGCTGGAGAACGCGGGGGCCTCAATGAGCAGCACTGCGGAACCCGTTGCAGCACCGGCACACGCTTCCATGCTGAGGTCAGCGTGGGCCGTAAAGGTGCCCGCACTCCGCCGCCCCCATGTGGGCCCCGCCGCGCGGGTGGATGAGTTCCAATAATACTCATTGCAATAGCTGTGCGCCGCAAGTGGATGGTGGCATTCTTGCTCTAGCAGCTGGCCTGGGGACAGCCAGTCAAATCTCTCGGGTGTGCCTGCCAGCAGTTGGGTTGTGGTTGGCTCACACGCGGCCGGCCCCGGGGTGGTGGTGCAAGGCCCATCTATGTCTGACCTGGCACAGGTACCGGGTGCATTGAGCAAGGCGGTGCCCGGCTGTGACACTGCGTTGTTGGCCTGGTTGTGGCTGTAGTCAGCATTCGAGCGCCCCTTCCTGCACCCTGGGCGTGCCCACACGAGGGGGTGGACAGCACTGTCCACATGCTAAAAATTGCCACGTCTCCAGATCCCATGCCCCTTGCCCCTTGCCGCCACAACAACCCCGTTCTGTGGGACTGCTGTGTACAAGAGTTGGGGTTACCCTTGCGGTCACCCGGCTGGCTCTGCATCACTTTGCTGGTCATCTGTTTCGTCCTGCAGGTTCTCTGTGGAGGTTTCTCAGAATGGACTGAGGTGCTCGACCACCCTTGTGACCATTCTGAGACCTTGGGGGCTCAAGTTTGATTGAACTGCCCTGGCACTGCAAGGGTGTGGACGCACACGGGAAGCCAATATCACGAGCACCATGGCGCAAGAGCCGGTTACACTGCGCTGACCGCGCCAGCGCGCGCCACCAGCACGCCCCCCGCGGGCCGCCACCCCGAGGCGGCTCCCTCGCGGCCGCGCCCCGCCGCCGCGCCCGCGCCGCGCTGCACTCTGACCGCGCGCGCGCCGCGCGCGCCAGCGGGGCTGGCCTCACTTTGGCGGGGCCACCTCCATCTGGTATGTGTGGGTCCCTGACTCGTTCTCCAGCAGGTGGTGCAGCTTGGCGCGCCGCGTGCGCGGGATGCGGCCCACCACTTTCACGCCCAGCAGGTCGGGCATGTGGCTGGACAGGTTGGTCGCGGGGATGGGGTGGGGGAGGGGGACGCATGGGCGTGAGTGTGAATGTGAGTGTGTGTGGTTACGAAAGAGGGGCGGGAGATGTGATTGAGTTGGTGCGGAAGGCGGCGATCGGACGTGGGTTTGTGCTGCAGCGGGTGCGCTGTTCAATGGGACGGGGTGCAACTGCTTAGGTACGAAGCGCCGGCCGGCACGGCCGCCCAAGCGCCCCGCCAGAGCGCCCGCAGCGCCACTTTTCTCAAGAGTCTCGCAGGAGCTCCCCGCGCCGCGTTCCCGTTGGCCAGCGGTGCGCGCAGGCGCGCGCCCGCGGCCGGCGGCCGCGGCTGCAGCAGGCCTCACAGCGGGAAGTGCTGCACGAAGCCGCCTGCGTCCGGGAACACGTTGTAGATTTTGAACCAGCTGCGGGGCCCCTTGTTGCCGCGCGACACGCAGACGCCCTTGTAGGTGTAAACCTTGCGGTCCGCCTCGGGAACGGCCTGTCCAGGCGGGGGAAAGGGCAGGCATGAGCAGTGCAAACGGCTTGGGCTGAGTTCCGGGGGTGGGGCGCGCTGCCGTGGCAGACACAGCAAAATCGAGCATCGCCGCGGCCAACCTGAAGCCGCACACGCAAGTGTGTCCTGCCTTGCGGCCCACAGGGGTCGCGAAGGGTAGCAGCATCCTGATCCACCCTGGTCCCGCACCCAGCAGGCTCGCACGCACCACTTGCACCTCCAGAATGTCCCCCGCTCTGAAATCCGGCAGCTGCCGCGTCTCTTTGACTTTGGCCACGTACTCGCTTTCAAGGGTCTGGGTGGGGTTGGGAGGTCAACAGGTGCGCTAAGCGCAATGGGGGATGCGCACTGCCTGGGTGCAGCGGCGCGTGCGTTGGCGCCGCAGCACGCACGGCGGTGGTGACCCTCACCGTGATGAGGGAGCGCATCCGCTTCAGGTACGTCTTTCGCTTATCTAACAAGCGCGTTGGCGTCCAGGGCTCGCGCGCTGGCCGCGGTGAGCCCGGCCCTGCGACGCTGCTGCTGCTGCATTGCTGCCCCGAAGTCAGTCTGTCCGCTAGCTGCTGCTGAAAGTCCGAGCTTGTAGAGCATGCGCATTGCCGTGTAATGCCCATAAGCTGCTGTAGCAGGGGGCGGCGCAGCCCCAACATCGTTGATCTAGCTGTGGATCTCAGGGCAGTGTTGTGTGGGTGGTGCGCATATGGTCTCGGCCCTGCACCCACAGCAGAGTTCAATTGCAGGCTGTCAAAGTGTGATGGTCCTGCCAGTGATGCTGAGTCGCTGTCTTCACGCACTGTACTAAAAAACGCGTCGGTGGCCAGAGTGGTCAGCAGCCACGCGTTGCCCCCACAAAGGTTTTCCTTGATGCCCTTGGGACGCTCTGCTGGCTGTTTGATTCCATCACTAGCGACTTCGGCATTTACAGCAGGCGGCAGTCGCCCTCACAAATGGCGGGGCGGCTGATGTCGGCATCAATCGCACGAAACATGCACGGCATGTTGACAAGACTGAAGAAAACTTGGGTCGCTCAATGCATCCGCATGTGTGCAGGCAGCAAATCGGATGGGGCCCAGTCCACGTGCATGCGCAGGTATGAACATCAAAGGAAGGCCCCCCCGCCACAGACAGGCACCCCTGCAAGTCACTGCAGGTTCTGGTCAGCTGCTGCGTTTCAAACACGAGCGGGCTGGCTGCGCAGGAACGACCTGGAGCTCTGGCCGCGCAGCTCCTCAAGGGCGAGGTTCACGTCGGTGTGCTTCACGTTGGCAGCCAGGTCCTTGAGCTCGCTCTGCAGTCAAAGCGGTGAGGGAGGGCCAACGAGGGGGAGGGCGGCGTGCTTGCGGTCAGCTGGGCGCCGGGGGTTGGGGTGCCTGGAGCCTGCGGGCATCAAGGCGAATGACAAGCGGCAGGCAGCGCCTCACGCCTTGCTGGCGCGACCAGCAGGCGCCGGCATTGGTGGCTGCAGATGCACTGATGCGCAACCCCTGCAAGCATCTGCCAGGACGAATGGGCCCCGCCGCGCCCGGCAACCCACCAGGCGGCCGTCGGTGGTGACGGCAAGGTCGTCGCGGACGGTGTTCCAGTCAGGCATGCTGCGCGTGGACGCAAGGGGGTCGGCCAGCGGCCGGCCGTCGGTGCCGGTCGGCGCCAGCAGGGTGCCGCTGTGCTCGCGGGCCAGCGCGCTGTGCGCGAAAGCGAGCAGCACGACGGCTGCGAGGCACATGAACGCGCGGGTGTTCATTTTTCCGGGCTGGCTTGCTTGTGGAGCGAGGTTTGCGCGGAGTTGTGAGGGCCGCGATGCGATGAAGCTAGAGAATGAGACGTGACGGTGTGAAATTAGAATTTAATATGGTTTTAAACAACTTGCGACCCATGTGCGCCCTGCAGATGCCCCCAGATGGCAGGCAGGTGCTTGGCGCTGAGTAGTCGCCGGCGGGCAGATGCGAAACGCCGAGCCCCCCGCCCAACCCCCAGCCCAACAAAAGCGCTACTATGGCCCAAAAAGCATTTTCTTCGAGCAATCCGCCAGCTGCATAACTTGTTGGCGTTGCGACGGCGTCGCGCTCTGCGAAGCTTTGGTTTCGGAACTCCTGCTTGGTGATTGTCGCGCGGCGCCACACGTGCGCGGGGCACCACAAATTCCCAGCTCGACGCATGCTCTGCACCGCCAGGCGCTACAGCTTTGAAGAACTTCCCATGAGGCCGCTTTGGGTTTGAGCGCCTGGTTGCCGACTCCCAAAGCTCCAACAGTGATCTTACAAACCGGCCAAAGTATGTTGTCTGCGACGACGAAAATCCGCATCAGGTGGAACACAAAACCTTGGTTTGGATGCAAGATTGCCACCACCTGAAACGGCGCTACACTCCGAAAGTTGCAGCATCC